TATATATATATATATATATATATATATATATGTATATATATATATTTATATATTCATATTTATCAGCTTATACGTATCATTTATATTTATATAGCATTATACATACATTCTTGTTTTGTGAAATTCCCTTTGTCTTGTGAACAGGGAATTCCAACCGTAGCATATCCCTCCCTCCAGCTACCACACCTCCGTGACTCCAAATCCCACTTCTCTTGTCACCGTTACCACACTGAAACATTCCTACTGTAACTTCCTTTCTTTTCTCCAGCTGCACATACACAGAAAACACAGCCTGTCTTAACCAAGCATCTTTTAAAGTTTTTCCACTATATTATCGTAAGCTAGCTGGCTGTGTTGATGTTTAATATATTTGGATATCTTTGCTGTCGATAAATCAACATAGCGATCTAGGTGTAGGAACATTGCTTGCGTATAATTTGTACCTAAGAAGTGCCAGCGTGGTTAATAGATGTAAATCTGTGAATGTATTCCTCGCACTTGTTATGAGGATGAAGGTTATAAGGGGATGTGAACGTCACATCCGTCACGCTGTCAAAACAAAAAGAAAATGGCAGGAATCTAGCAGTGAAGTCTGGAAGGAAAGGAGGTGAGCAGAAAAAGGCGATATTTCATTTGATTTTGCGAATTTCGGAGAGGATCAGGATGTCGATCTACTCCAGAGTCAGGATATCTGCCTGACCTTTAATGTGGTACTGTGTACCAGAGGTTAAAATATAATCTGGTTATCCAAGGTGCTGCAAAAATGCAGAGCATATCCAGGTGTCTTAAATCTGTAAATCCGGAGCCTTGCCGCTCGAGGTCAGGTGACGATGAGGAGGAGGTGAAGGTGACCATCTACCTACGGGATTATCCATCCTTCTTCCTTGTGTCTATCAGAGCTGGGGTTCCGTCGGGGAAAAGAAGGCGGCAGGGGTCGGTATATCTTCCTGTGATGTGTGGTGAGTGTGTGTGTGTGTGTGAGCGGGCTTCCTCCACTGCTATGACACCTCGCTGCCGAACACTTCCAGCACCAGCGGGGTGAGCTGCATGCTGTGCTCGGGCTGGAAGGAGAGGGAGCGGTACTGCTTGGAGTGCTCCTCGTTCAGGCTGCGCAGGTCGGCCAGCTTCTGGATCATCTTGGCGTAGAGGAGGCGTCCGCCCGGGTGGTTCACCTGGATGTAGGCCTGCAGCGCCTCCGACAGGTGGTCCTGCAGCTGCTCGATGCGACCGTGGTCCTGGACTCCAGGGCGATCTACCCGTCAGGGGATGAAGAGGGGGCAGTGGAGGAAAATTGTGAGGGAGGTCCAAGAGGAAAGGAGGAAAGCAAGAGCAGAGAGATCGTCAGATTGTTGTGTTGATTTAGACTGTAGTGATCAAACTAATATTCTACATTCCTAATATATATATTATTAGTTTCATACTAATTGCAGAACTGCATTACAGTGGTGGCTGCGCAGGATTGTTTTCGTCTCGTGAAATCGAAATTATTTGAAAAATGATAGATGTGATAATTTGCAAAATCCACATTCACATGTTATCTTATGAGAAGTCAGCATCAATCCAAATTTGTTGGCACACAAATGGATTCACTCACATGTATTAATGGTTCGCCTAGCAGCAGCCATGTAGGACGTTTATCTAACAAAATAACAACAATCCTTTTCTACCACTTATTTTAAACTTCATCAAAAACATCAATGAAAAATGTGGATCACTGCCCTTGTTTCCTTTCTCTAAGGGGATGAGCATATGTATAAAACAAGGCCATCCTTGGCTGAAAAAAAGTGTTCAAGCTTGTGGAAAATGTTGAGTTTCCAATAGCTAGTGTGCGTCATCTATTCTTGAAGCGGCTTTCCTTCTCCATGGCCTCGTTCAATTGTTACGTTAATTCACTGTTTTCAGCTGAAAAGCCCAATGAAGCACAAACAGCATAGATATGCGTCATTCCTTTCTAACACTGTGTTGTACCTTCATGTTTTTTCAGTATTGAAGACCTACACTGTTTGTACTCTACTGACATGGTGTTGTTATTAGTCAATCTAGTAACACTCTCTCTTTAAAAAAAACACTGGAACACACAAGCAGTACCTGGGGAGAGCAGGCAGATGGCCATGAGCAGCACGTGTTCCTCCTCGTGCAGGTTGAGTTTCTTTAGACCAACCTGGAACTTCACCAGCGGCTCCAACAGATCCAGAGTGTGACCCGCTAACATGAAAAAGAACACAAACGGTTAGCATTGTTAGTGCTGCAAACATGAATTGTGCTTTTTTATTGATTTAGAAGTGAAAACACACTCTATACAGCAGTGGAGAATGTTTATTTCCCCATTGCGGACAGAGAGCATTGCTTCCTGCCCTGCATGTGTGAGTGAAAAAGGACTGAGTGTGTGTAGCTGCTTTATTGCTTCCATGAAAATACCTGGAGTCAAAACCTCACAGTAATGTGCAAGTGTGCATAGAAAAGCAGCATGTGGGTGATGCTTGTAAGGGTGCGTTATATAAGGTGTGAGAAAAAAAAAAGGAATCACAGCTGTGTCATCAGCTTCAACGTTGAACACGCTTCTGTCCTTGAGACTGTGTACTTGTGTGCAAAGGTACCTTTTGCCAATGCAATGCTCAATGATGCGGCCTTGGTGGAAACATCGTGAGTGCTCGCTACACAAGGCTGAAGTATGGAAGCCTATTTATGCCAATGTGTTGAAAGAAATGTTTTTATTGTGTTACGACCCTGGGTCGTTAGGTCATGTGTGTGGACATTTTTCCCTCCTGTGTCTATGAGTGTGTGTGTGTGTGTGTGTGTGAGCAACAGGTGGTGCCCGTTAAGCTGATTAGCTACCTTCAACCTGCTGATTGGTCCAACTGAAGAAGAGAGGATATTTAACTGCAGCCGTGCAGTTCCTCGGCCTCTCACCGACTAGACTTCTCCTACTCCCAACACACATCTGCGCTGCGATGTCTGTCCTGTTACACTGATTGCTTAGTTATACCGTATGCCGGTCCTTTCTCCCGTGTTGTGAGAAAAGCTACTAAACCTGTCTTTGTTAAACACGCTTTATTTATTTTGCTTTTCTCCTGTTTGTGCATTAGAGTAGGTAAGATTTTTGTACGTTTATTTTTCTCATTTGATAGTTAAGATTTTGTGTTAAAAGCTTTCTTTGTTTTGTGGTTTTGCTACTCCGGTGTGTAAAAGGCTTTCTCTGTTTTGGTGTCCTTGTTCTTGGGAGTGGGAAAAGTGGGGAGAGTGCATTTTATGCTGCGCCTAGGTTCCCCTAGGTCTGGGCATAATATATTTGGGGGCTCGTTCATCCGGTCTTTCTGTTCTTGTCATCGGGTCGGGTAAGCATGGCTATTTCCATACATTCTATGTTTCTGGTTGACAGTTTGTCTGTTTGGAATTCACAATGGAGAGTCAATTCGAATTGTTTACTCAGGAACCCTCCATTGAGATACTAGATAACTGCACGGTAGCAGATTTAGTGTTAATTGCACAGTTCTATGATGTGTTTGTGCCTACAAAAACAAAAAAACAGGAGTTAAAAGACCTGTTGTATGCAAAACTAGTTGAAAAGGGTGTGTTTGAGGAGAAAGTTCACACACATGAAGTGGATGATCTGGCAGGTTTGTCCACCCCACTCCAAGGCCTGCCTTCTCAAGCTGGGATGTTGGTAGAGGAGCTACAGTTGACTCTGCGCATCAGGGAGATAG